ACACGTGATGTTTTTAGACATGAATACATAGTGTTTCACACTGAAAATTGAAGACAAATCATTTAAGACTTTCTCTGAGCTGCTACTTCAGAAGATATGCCCTCTGGGGAGAGAAGAGGTATGTTCAGTTCTTCTCATTAAGGCTGGAGTCCTTTGCTGGGCTTGTAGAGCCTTCATGATGCCTGCAGAGCTACATGTTCTCTGTTATGTTAAGCTGGTATCAAGAAGTGTAGACTCTGTGGGACTTAGGCTAACTCTGATGTAGCAACATCTTGAGTATTGCTGATGAAAACTAAGAAGATTAAACTCTGTGTAATCTGGTAATCTTTATGTAAGTGAAGTCCAAATTACCATAAGCTCTTCAAAACATTCATTTGTGGATCAGTAAGAAGGGAAAAATAACTAAAACTAGCTCAAGTTGCAAATCTGTGGGTCTTTCTCTTTTACAGTAAAAACCTTCAAAGATGCTTTGGAATAAGAAAACTATTCTTGTTTTACCTTCTTAAGGGAAAACAGCTTTGAAGCACAGTCATATCTGTTCCTGAGTTAACGCACAGTTACATTGGATTTATGGAGACTATTAAAATGCTAAGAGTCACTGACTGATTATTTTAATGCTCTCTCACTATTTCATAAAAGATTACTTTCAAAATTGAACTGCTCTGTCTTGGTGGTATTGCCATTTTACTAAATGTGGATATTGTGTCTTATATTTTTTTAATTCATTCAAAATGAAGAAATATGTTTATGGTATTCAGTTGTATATACAGATAAAACAAGAAACAAGACAGTAAGCTCAGAATGCCACCAAGTTGCACAGATCTTCATTCTATTAAATTTACAAAATTGTAACAAATTTGCTTTGGCTTTTAAGATCTTATGATTATGTTAATTGTACTGACATTAAGTTTGCTTTTCTCAGTAACCATTTGTGATGATTCCCTGTAGAAGAAACATGCATGTGTACAGTTCCCCAGGCTTCAGGTTTACCCTGCTTGAGCAATGTGAATTATGTTGTTGTCCTGTGGTGTCAACTGAAAGGCCTAGGCAGAGTTTTAAGTACAACCTCTGTCAGACTTTAATCTTCATCAAATAGCAAATGAGAATCACTTATTATCTGGAAGAAAATTGAGAGCAGCTTCCTCCCAGTCTTCACAGTTGTAATTAATTTGCCACTTAACCCATGGTTCATATCAGAGTTTTCTGAAGTAAGTTGTCTTTTCTGTAGCCCAAGAGTCTGTCTGGGTTTCAAGCTTCAAGGCAAAGATCTCCACAGCTATGCTGAGGGGTCTGAAGTGACATCTATGTGGAATCATTCTTCAGGACACTTCTACATCGCTAACGTCCACACAAAATCTACTTGTACTCAAACCATGCTAGGGAATCGTTGAAAGAGCATTAATTGGGTTATAATAATAATCGGGCCAAGATGTTTCATATGTGCTTTAATACCTGCTGCCTGGGAACATTTTGTGGTGCGGTTTGATTAACTACTAGAGGCCCCTTCTCCAGCCTCAGAGGCACAGGTGTTGTGTGAACAATCTGGAACAGCCAATGATTAGCCCCACTCCCTGTTCCCGACCGTCATGGTAAAGGCTCCTCCTCACTGAACAGCCAGTCCTGCCCTGGATGCATAACCATTACTCAGCAGTAATCAAATACTGGCCCCAAACAATTCCTCGTTACTCAGTGAAGCTCAGGCAAGCTGGATGATTGGCCGCTCATGATAGGGAAACTTCTAATTTCAGTAAGAAGGTTTTTTTCTCTGCAAAATCTCTGCTGTTGCTTTGAGATGAATTGCAGTGGATTACCATAGTAATAGACCACCTGGACATTGTTAAAAAAGAATTTGATGAAATATTGGTTCTAAAATGAATTTTAGATGAGCTTTTTCCTGCAGCAAGTAAAAGGAGTTGTATCGGATCGTGATTTTCTGTCAGAAATAAGTTGTACTCTGCTCAGGTTGTTCAGAGGTACCATATAATTCAAGCACTCACTGCGTGCCAGCTTTGAGCATCCATTTCTCAGTGGCAGTTGAGTTAGATTTTAAACTTACGTCTGTGAGTTGTGATGTCTTACTATATAGCTCTTTCCATATTTTAGTTCTGTATTTGAAAAGGCAGTCACTTTGTACGTTGAGCAGCCTATCAGCATGTACCCCAATGAAGTCATTCAAATATCTTCTTCAGTTGAAATTAAGTCTTGCTGAATTTCAAGATTTATGGTTCATACTGAAACACTGCATTGCTCCCACGTAGCAGAGGATGATACTTCTCCAAGAGCACTATTTGTTTGTCCAGTCACATGGGAAGCTGCATATTGCTGTTGATGCCGAATTCTTCCTAGAATGTACTGTAAGAGACACATTCATGTTGATGAGGCTTTGGTGGGTCTCGCCATGTGAAGATGCAGAATATTATAAATATTTCATCTCCCAGTCTGCAGGCATTGGGCAGGAAAAAAAGAGGACTTTGTTGTTTTGTATTACTCAAATAGTGTGCATTTTGGGCTTCATAAATTTTACTCAGGTGGAGATTTCAATAGTTTGAAAATGGCTTCTTTTTTTTTTTTATAGACACCTTAAGGGTGGCTTATATTGTGAAACTTCTGTTAAGAGATGATTTTTCTTTGCATGATTTATGCCTGAGGCTTCTTTAATAAAGGCTATGAATCAGTAATGGATTAATATCCCTCTGTCAACTGCACCTTTTCCATTTGTTTCAGATTATTATTTTAAAAGACACAAACTATTCAATTCATAAAGTTGTTTATATATATTTCACAAATTAAAATGCTGTAATTTAATTCTAGTATCTGAATGTTGAAAACCCTGGATTAGAAAATTTTATTTCCATTAACCATCAGGGCAATCTATGTCCTTTTTGGTCAGTTTCTTGACGCGCTGTCCCGAATGTACCATTACATAGCGTGCAAAATATATATTAAAAATCTATAGAAATAATTCTGCTAGGTTTTTTTTTTTTTTTTTTTTTTTTTTTCCATTTGTTGGCATGGCATTAGGAATTGTTTGTTATAAGAAATCTTGTTAATCCTTTTTTTGCATGTGGTTATAATGAAACCGAAGTTAACTTGAAAGAATATTGCACTTAGAAAAATGTCTTTGTTCTTTTAGAGGATGCCAGCACTTAAAATTCAGAATCAATTTTGTTGCATGAAAATTCAATGGAATAGAAAATTGGAAGTATACATTAAACGCATAATCACAGAATCGGAAGGGACCTCTAGAGGTCGAGTCCAGCCCCTGTGCAATGCAGGCCCCCTACAGCAGGCCACACATACAGGTGTCTGGCTAGGTGGGTCTTGAATATCTCCAGAGAAGGAGGATCCACCACCTCTCTGGGCAGCCTGTTCCAATGCTCTGTCACTGTGAAGCGCTTCCTTTACACGTTGGTGTAGAACTTCTTATGCTCAAGTTTATGGCCATTTCCCCTTGTCCTGTCCCCACAGACTGCTGAAAAGAGGGTAATAGTAATAATAGTAATTGTTCTTACATATACTAATATCTTTGATTACAGTGAATTAATTTAGCACACATATAGGTGTCATGCATTACTGTTATAATCCTTTTGTAATTTACTCAATATAACATCATTGCACATTGTAGCCACTTTCTCAGATTTATTCTCCACTGAGATTTGTCCTTTTTTCCTACTGCTCAAAAATAAAGTAGGTGCAACGTTGAGGTTGTGGTTACTTTCATGCCAGAAAAATCATTGGTCATTTTAATTACATTTTGTTCTGTCAAAATAATCTCTTTTTAAACTTTTTGGTACTGTACTGTTAAACTGTTGGCTAATTCTGACTGGTTTTGGCTGATTGAATCCATGACCTCTAGATCATAGAGTCATACAGGTGGCAGGGAATCTCTGCATGTTTCTGCTTCATGCTTCAGCTCAAAGCAGGTTCAATTAAAGCAGGTTACTCAGGGCTCTGTCCCATCTTTAAAGATGGAGGTCCCGTACCTTCTCTGGTTCCCCATTCCTGTTTGGCAGCCCTCATAGCAGTAAGTGAGTAAATAAATAACATGATCCCTAATTGATTTCCTGTATTCTGGCTTCCATCGATTTCCTTTCATCCTGTTACTGCGCAGCCCCAAAGATTGTCTGGTCCCATCATATCCAAACCCTCTCACTGTGGGTATTCCTTGGTCCAGTGAGACTCCCTTTTCTTTCACTTTGGAAAACTGAGCAGCCTTTCAGCCTTTTTTCATAACTTGTATGCTGCAGTACCTTGTTGGTCTTGTTGATCTGTACTACACAATGTCCAGCATAGCGAAGTGTGACACGTGCTCTGATACTAGAGAAAGATATGTACACAAAACAGGATTTCAGGAGTAAAAAGCAAAATACTGGTATTCCTTTACTTCTGAATCTTTCAAAATCTTTCTGTTGTCTTTAGTCTCAAATACAGCTTAATGTTGTTTTGTTTTGTGTTCTGCTTAAATAGCTTCAGTGGTAACTAAATTTCAGAGAGAGCACAGATTAATTAAATTTCAAATTCCAGTTTACAGAAGATTATGTTCATCTTACATCACTGGGCCAGCCTAGGAGAAGGTGTTTTCTGTAGTGATTTTCCTTTCTTTCTGAGTTTCTAAGTCAAAGCATATGGAAGAATGTGATTTAGCTTTTCAAAGTGCGTACAAATTAGGTGATTATTCATTTTTTCATAAAGCAGAACTGAACAACAGTAGAGTCATGGCAGCCTTGCCCATAGGATATTTTGTTACAAAATATCTTTCTTCTGAAGGGCTTGAGATAGCATGCTCCTAATTCCTGTAGAAAGAAATGAATTTCTAAATGCATATTTTATTGCTAACACCATATGGCCTTATGTATATATAAAGGCCATTTATGCTAGCAGGCTCAAGAAGTGAATATGTAGTGTGTCTTTTAACGTTACTTCTGTTAAAGCATAACAATTGCTGTGTTCTTTATTTTCATTCTCATTTCAGTGTTGATCTTTCTGTTTCCTCTTTTAAGGAACCTCTCTTTGAAACTGTCGAAGGAGGTAGAACAAGGAGAAGCCAGGTATCCCCGAATTAGCCAGCTGGCTGGCAGCCCATCTGTGGAGTGGCCTTTTACTGGTTTGGAAGAAGGTGGAGGCATTGAATCTTTGCCCTTCAGACTGATGCTGCAAGATTGCACAGCTGTAAAGACATTGCTACTGAAAATGAAGAGGGTTCTTCAGGAGGTAATTGCCCACTCATTTGTTAAATTAATAGCTTTCTGCATTAATGAGCTAAGCAGCGAAAGAAGGTCAGAAGAGTTCATGAACTTGATGTCTCATAATATGTTCTGAATATATGGAGTTGCTGCAGAAATACAAATAGCCCTGCCTCAATGTGGCTAAAGTCAGAAAGTTTATGCAGTAGCAGAGTTTAACAGATGCTGCCATCTTGGTGCGCAGAGAATAAAGCTGCTCTTCAGCTTTCACCTGAAAGATGGTGGATTTATTTAGATCAAAACAAATTGTGTTGTCTTCCTCTCTTATTTTGGAATTTTACAGTTTTCTTACTGCGTTTGTTAATCAGTATGTAGTCACATGCAGTTTATTCAGAGAAGAGATTCAAAAGGAAAAAAATGTTCTAAGTAGAAGTACTAAAGCTAAAGGTTACTCTCCTGGGCATGTAAATGGCAGATGAAAACAGATTTCTTAGTTCATTATATCAGTGTTAAGAGTGTTCACTTGTCCTGTCCTGCTACATTCTTCGCCTCTCCCTTAGAATGCTGGTGTTTATTTGAATATCACTTTTTGCATTGTATAGAATTTTAGAATAAAATAAATTATAAGTTAATGGCAAGTTTTCATCTTGATGTCAGTGCACTAGAAGAGCACTCTTGTTCTTTGATATCTACAAAAATTACTATTTTTTTAATTTGTTTAATTCATAGACTTTGTAGAATAACTTATGTTCAGAGGATTCTATGGAGATGCAAACCCTCTGCTCAGAGCAAGGCTCTCTTAAAATTGGTTGCTCAGTGCCTTGCCCATTTTCACTCTTGCCCACTTTTCAGTACGTTAGTGGGAGTACCTTAATGGGGCCTCCACAGCCTTTTAGGGCAACCATGCCAATATTTAACTACATCATTGCAAGCTTGTTACTTAAGATATATTCAGAATTTCCACTGATGCAACTTCATCATATGAAGTGACATTTGCCTGAGACAAATAAAGCTTTGATAAGTTCTTTGTTGAATACAGAACTGAAATAATTAATTTTCAATCAGTTCTTTCTCATGTAATGTGGGGATATGGAGCAGGATTTGTAACCACATCAAAAATGCAAATAAATATTAAGGATTATAATATTACAAGACGTATCAGTTATATTTCATCTAGTTGCATTGATAGCTTATTGTATGATTATTATGTTTTGATTAAAATGATTCATTTTTGCCTTAAAGGTAAGGATATCCATTTTATTTTTGATTAACAAATTCCATTACACAATTGTATATGACTCTACTGAGATTTTCTATATGTCAATATGTTGTGCTTTCTAGAACATTTTAAAATATATATTTTAATACATATTTTTAAATACACATATTATAATACATATTTAAAAGCATTCACCACGTAATTTCCACAAAAGGAACTCAACTTATTTAATATACTTGAGTTACTGACACCTCCTTATGTTATTCATACTGATTTTATTTTTTCTTCTTATTCATTGACTCTCTCACTTCTTCCTTTTTACCATGTAATTTTTGTCTTCCCATCTGACAATATCACAGTGCAAAACGTAATACTGTCTTTCTCATTTTCTTTTTGTCTTGCCTTCCTTATGAAATCAAAACATGAAATTTACTAATCCCACAGTTGGATATTGTGTATATGCTGTACATATATAATAAATATGTGCTGTAATTTATCTCCCTATTTTTTTCAACACTTTTGAGGTGCTGAATAATGATTTTGAGATAGAACATCTTACTAGTAGTACAGATTGTTCCAGTACACAGCTGAAGCAAAACCTGATTTGGTTAGAAAGAAGTGATCAATCTGTTGATTATCTAAAACTCATTTTGCTGCCTAGACTTGTTATTTGTATCTTCGTTGTTTTTGTTGTTGCCTTAGAATAAATAAATAACTGAGTGACTTCTAATTATAGCAACGATCGCTATATAGTGAATTAATAGCAGATTATATGGGGAATGCTGCAAAATAGCATTATTGCTTAGATTTCATATCTCTGTAAAAGAGTTAGCAAGCCTGTCCACTATACAGTAGGCATCAGCCTTGGTATAATTGTAGAATTGTAGAAAAATGTTATAAACACACTAAAACTTGAGGAAATGAGCCCCAAATTGAGTATGATTCAAAAGAATGTATGTAGACTGGTTTGAATGGTGTAAGCAACTAAAGAAGAGATGACTTTGAAAGGTATAAAAAAAAGTGGTATTGGAGTGTCAGAACTTTATTATCTTCAGAAATACAGACATTTGTATACTTATATCACTTTGAAATTATTAGTGGAAGATTCCAGGAAAATATAATTCCATCAAATTGAAACATTTGATGGAAGAATCTGACAAATAATTCATCTGAGCATATGTGGCAAGCAGTTTCCATGGAGAAGGCATCTTAGTTCCATTCTAACTAGATTTAATTTCTTTTTCCAAAACGCACTTCCACTCCAACCAATATCATAAATCTAAGTCTGTGCAGTGCAGAATTAAAACAGAGTAGAAAAATTTGTTCCTTATCTTTGAACTCTTGTCTATATTTAGTCTGAGGCGAACATCTCTGGCAGGTTTATAGAACTGAAATATTTTATACCTGTGATGTTAAAATATACATATATAATTATTTTTAGAAATAATATTACCTCACATGTTTCCATCCACTTTTGAAAATATAAAAACATGCAGTCTATATTTGAAAAATGGAACAATTTATCAGAAGAAAAGCTGCAGTTTTTCTCTTTTATAGCTGATGTTATCTAAAGAGCAAATTACAGGAGTGTATACCTCTTTATTGAACAACTTCTGACTACTAATTTAATTATGTTCTGCCAAAGTGTAATACTAGTTAAAAATATATATAATTATTTTGTTTTCGCAGTTGTTTGTAATTGAGCAATCAATATCAAAAAGCTGGATGCAGTATATGCTGTACTGTGTTGCAGATTTGTAAAGATGTGAGTTTAGCTAGTTATTAGTCTATGAGAAAGGAAATTGAAGACGTGGCAGCAACTTGAAAGACTGAGAATGTTATTAGGTAATGTGTTTAGTAAAGGGCTAATGAATGATTGTTCGATTAAAAGAATTAATTACAAATTCACGTTCAGTGAAGAAGCCTTGAAAATGTCAACTTAAAATTCTCTGTATCTTTATGTATGTAAGTCTTATGTAAGTCAAATGTTTAGAGAACTTTACTGAACAAAGCTAAAGATAGACTGGACAACACAAGGAAACCCAGTGATGCAGCAGAAATCAGTCCAGAAAGTATTTCTGAATCCAGTCAGCAGCTTTACTGTGGATGGTCTATTTCTGACAGGGAATTTTTTTAATAAATGGGCTAGCCAAGACCTGTGACCTGCAAAGTTAAAGAAATGTTTTGGAAAAGCATTACCAGAGATTAGCAGCGCAGCCTGATAAAAGCCATTTCAAAATATAAGACAGTATCAGCTGATATGTAACCCATCTATGGTTTGCAGATATTTCTTGGTCTCCCTTTTCTTTCCATTTCAGTCTATTGAACTATTTTTTGTTTGCTTGTTACTTTGTCTTTTGTTTACTTGTTTGTTTGTTTTGTCCTCAAGGTGTCTAGCTGGTCTTGACCTTTTTTCAGTATTAGTTCCCCGCATTCAAAAATAAAAATTGGTAGGTTTGTCCTCCCCTTACAAATGGATTCTTTACTTTCTAACTTTAGATGGGCTTTAGATGGGCTCTGAACTTGGCTTCTGGACTTGGAAGAAGACACTGGCTTTTGTCCTCCATGTACTGTGCTATACTTTCTATGTTTTATTACATTTCAGACCATATATTTTTTGCATATAATCAATCAGCATCTTCAAATAAGAGTGTAGATTCTTTGTTAGCTATTTATATTAACACTAATAAATATATTATTTTATATATGTAATAACTTCCCCAAACTACATAGGTTGCTCTGAAAGTAATACTTATTTATTTCCGTGGAGACTATAACAGATACAAAGAGCACTGTAACACTATTTGATAGAGGAAATTCTCAGCAACAAAACACTACTTTTCAACACAGTTGCTACTATTAGCTATGAATTTTTGCCAGCAATTAACCAGAACCTTCATGCTACACTCATAACGTCTGTGTCAATGGAGGTGGCTTGTTGTCACCACTGCTCAAATGTATCATGTACTAATGTACTACCTCACTGTAGTCATGTGTGCTGTTTGGTCTTCATAAATATTCTGCAAGCATCAATGAATGTCAATGGGAGCAGTTTTTCCTGCATGGAGGAATTCAGTTCCACACCTTTCCTTCTTAAGCACTTCCATGTCAGGCTTGATTTCATCAGACTGCACCTTTGCTGTCATCTGTCACATGACTACAAAATGTAATGGAATTTTGATAGGAAGGTTCAACCTCTACTGCCATACCACAAACACTCGCCTGTGATATCATAGGCCAAAATAATAAAATAGTAGGCATTACTTTCAGAGCAGCCCTTTTATATATTTTTTTCCTGTGTCAAATGGAACTTGGGATATTTCCATCTGTTACCATTTAATAGTTTGAGCGATAGCTAACAGGGAGAATATCAAAGGGTGGCTAATTGAGAGGACATTTAAGGGTTTGGCCTTTCTTGAAATCACTGACAGAGCATTTTGGGCAAAGACATGTGAGCAGAACTATTTGTAGTTTTGTGCATGGCAAGAGAGGGTCTTTATGATGAAATGAGCATGGTGGAAAAAATATGATTGTTTTGGGAAGGAATCCATTTATTCAGTGGTGATGGGTTGCTGTTCAAATGTTAGATGCTGTTAGATGTTGAGTGCATTGATTAATTTGGGTAGAAACTGAATGTCCCAGCTTAAAGAAATCTTGCCAACGTTTAGGCTTGTTTCTACACATCATGTGTTACCTATATGCTTTATGATATAAATAGATTTTCAACATATAATTACACTTCTGTATTAAGATACTTTGTCAATGTGTTTGTGTAATTTTGAATATAAATTATTCAGTGCTGTGCCAGA